GGGAACAGCATGAGTTGAAATGATAACTTTCGGTGAAAGAGTCTCACCTTAAAATAAAGAACAAAACAGAATACATTATAATAGGTGTAAATTATGCACAAAGATAACAAAGTCCATTTTCTAGTCAGTATATACACAATAAAATTAAAATTTACATAATTCAATGAGACAGGAAGCAAAAGAAAGTCCTTAATTATCTTCGTTTCTTAAAAGTAACCAATCATCATTTATATTCAAACCTAAACGAAAACATTTCCGTACGTATATTACATAGACGGGGTGATACAATGGTAGCTACGATATTGCCCTAAATTTGCCAAATTGTATTTTGCGTATGAATCGTCATCAGTAGATTTTTTTAGTAATTTTCATGACAACAATCATAAAAACATGAAAAGGAACTTATTTCGTTCATAGCATGCAATCCACACGGCAAAAATATTAAGACTTTTGTTGCGTTATTTCAAAAATGACATATGAACATGTTTTTAACGTCTAGCGTCTTAAAATTCCTGAATTTTCTCTCAGGGTATGAGGGCGGGTGAGTGAGACAACTTTCCAACTTTCACAATCTTTGGACTAGTCGGGCAAGTTTCAGGAATTTGTTGGGAAAATTTTCATAATTTCACAGTTGCATTATTTAAAAAAGTACAACTGGCAGGGTTTTGTACTCGTGTATATAAAATCTGATTACAAACCATTAATAATTTTGAGATGAAGCCCTTCAATTTCTTTGCCAAATGTATAATGTGTCAACATGTTACGTGTAAACCTCGTTCAGTTTTACTGAGAGAAGCTCAGCGAGATCAGCAAATAGTGTCAACTTATCGTTAGTTTGCAACATTAAATTCTTTGATCGTATGTTTGTATAGTTGTATTCACATTATTGTGCATGTTAATTTGTCCTTGTTTTTATCCGTTTATAATTTATTTTCTCCTAAGTCCAATCTGTTTGATATAAACAAACCTGAGTTCAACGAAGATTCAAATTCACACGGGCTACTTTTTTGCGTATGCTGACCACTAAAACCCAGGCTTAACCTTGGTTTGACTCAACCCATATCAAGAAGTGGAATGAATTAAACCCAGGTCAAACCTGTGTTAATAGTGTTCACACGCAAAAAAAAATACATACACGCATTCATTTGAACCTGGGTTGAGCCCAGATTAGCTAATGTTGTGTGAATTAAGCTCAAGATCGTATCGACGTATAGTTAGTTGTTTTTAATTGTAATGATTGATGAATTCATATATGCATTGTTACATGTAAAAATTCAATATCAACCTTAGACGGGAGATAGATTCCGTAACACGAACATAAAGATGAGAAATTAAGAATAATATACGTTTTCACCTGCAGTTAACAAAAAAATTCTTGGGCTGCACTACATAAAGACGCCTTCTATGAATAAACTTAAATGAGCGCAAACTTTTAGGCGTATAGTTTTATAGTATTTCCAATTATATGTCACTGCAAAAGTGTAAAGTTATGCTTGCAAAACTGCATGTTTTTATTAAGCGTGAGTGGTGGCAGATAAAATTTCTGATTAACAAAAACCTAATAAACTTTATAACTATATATCTGTCCGATGAATTATCAAAGTTTTTACACATGTTTCGGCATTGAACGCAAGCAATATACGAAAATGAGTCGAAGAAATTAAAGACACAAGAGAAGTAAGTTTTATTATCTAGATGTGATGACACAATTTCAAAAAAATTATTTTACTGGCAAATCAAACTAAAGACCAACAAAGCTAGATAGAAAGCTTTGTTTCAAGTCATGTAATAAGCCAACCAACCTTGTCTGCTCGGTCATTACCGTTAAATATTGGATTTTAGTCTTTGAGTAGATAACCTCGCCGTACGGGCTCTGTATATAGCTAAAAAGCCCTTGCTCGGATTTATCTCGGTGAAGACCTCGAGCTTTGTTAAAGGTTCAACGAAAAATATGTTTCCCTCGCGTTAAGTTAATAAAACACAAGAATGGTTTTTAAAACATACGCGTTTTAAAACATACGCGTTTTAAAACATACGAGTTTTTTATATCCTTAAATTCAGTTAAGTAATTATTATCTTTGTTATATTGTAACATACCGTTGTCTTTTGTCTTTATAAAGACACTTTGTGAACTTTCACAAGCATTATTTGATGCATTGCAGAAAGCAACTAAAACAAAAATCACAAAAACACGCATCAACATCATGCACAAAGAAAGAAAACACTTTATGTTTGAAAAACGTTTTTGGCAACAATTATATAGCCACCATGATGAAGAATAAATTATATTTTGCACATGCAGCTGTGTCAATTTACCTAAATTACATAGAAAAGCACTTTTCCGATATTTTGAACATGTTTCAAGACCATAAAAAGCCGATTTTTGTTTAACACCTATAAGCCTGTAGAAATATTTTCTTGCTTGATGATAATGGACAGATTGGTGTATTAGTAAACAATATAGTAAAACATTGTTCACATTAATTATATCCTTTGTGATACCTAACACATTAAGACAAAACTCGTATATAAATCATTAAGTACTCGAACATGTCTTCCTATGCCTTTCACACATATCATAGTTAATAATTAGCAAACGTTCACCTGCTTTGGTAGCTAAAAACCTTTGCTAGCTAAAAACATTTGCAAGCTAAAAACATTTGCTAGCTAAAAACGTAGCTTCTACAGATGTCCTGTTTTGTTTTGTGGTTTGAAATATAATTTCCTAAAGTTCCATAATGAGTTCTTTAATTACGATATCAAGCTATAATATTTGCGATAATGCCCGAGAAATATTTTTAATGTCAAGTGAATGCAAATTAAAGCTTTTAGGGTACAAATATTGACGTGCTGTTTTTATTATTTATGTCACTATGCAATAATGATAAGTACTCAGTTTATAAATAACGTCAGTCACTCAAACACAGAACGGTAATGGGGACTGGGGAGAAATGGCAAGGTCGAATGGGGGGAGAACTTTTTGGGAAACTAGTGTGTCTACAGGTGAGGTATTTACATAATTTTGTGATTATAATTGAGATCATACATTGTGACTGACTAAGCGTACGTACGATGTAGGATTAGCTAAAAAAGTAGATGATACTGACAGTTTTCCCTTTTTAAAGTTGTCTTAGTCTTTGATTTTCTGGTATGTTAAAAATATATTTACAAAATATTTTTGAAGACGCGGGCGCGGATTGGTTGAATATCCGAAAACCCCGCGTCTTTATGTAGTGCAGCCCAAGAATTTTTTTTGTTAACTGCATGTGGATAACGTATATTATTCTTAATTTCTCATCTTTATGTTTGTGTTACGGAATCTATCTCCCGTCTAAGGTTGATATTGAATTTCTACATCTAACAATGCATACATGAATTCATCAATCACTACAATTAAAAACAACTAACTATACGTCGATACAAACTTGAGACTAAAATTAAGCTGAGCTGTTTCTTTTCATTTTCTCTGGTCTTTTTTGCTCGTCTAAATTCAGCTCCAGACTTCATCCTTTTACTTGGTTAGTTGTGAACCATGTCATCTGCAAATTAAGCGTCATTGTGTAATTGAAATTACATAGTATTTGTTATAATCATGCATGGAGTGCGATGTAAATATACGAAACTTTATCGTTAGCAATTTATTTCAAGACACGGAGAGTTCTTTATTTTCCTGATTGGAAAACGCTAGTGACACATTTTAATTGGGATTAGAAATTTAAAAATTAGATCACAACAGCGTTTATCTATAGCATAGTTTTAGCACCGTATACGCTTTCAAGAGTGTAAATTTTATATATTTAACAAATTTTTTAAGCTCGTGAGTGCGGTTATGTATTTGTAGATATAGTTAGTGTAGTTAGTGCAGTCTTTCAGAGTCAAAATGACCAGCGATGTTTAACACGATATTGAAACGGAAGTCAATACCAACATTAACAGTCCTTTTTTAGGACTGCACAAATCTGCATGTACAATCACAACGTGTACCAACATGTAATGAAGATGTGATGTTTTCAAAGTTGTTCTTTAACATTTCTAATTATTGAATCAAACCAAATCGTCCGTTGTAAGCACAAAATACAGTATGCCAGACCTATGGCCAGCGACTATAGCTTGAAAACACATGACAACATCATTCACTCTCATGGGCGTCAATCCTGTCTTAATTGAAGGGTGGACCATATTCATATATTCTGCTATGCTTGTCTAAGCTCTTTTCAAAACAATTTCATTTTCAAAAGAAATCAGCCTTGCATAACAGAATATATGAATATGGCCCCATTATTATCGCAGGAATGACGCCCATGTATACCCTGACATGGTTATAAAGTACATGGTTTGAACCCGGTAGTATCTTTACATGTTTGTAAATGATGATCGTCCAGGTTAATAAAGTCCTGAGAAGGTCTGTTTTTGTTGTTGTTGACTGACGTTTCGACAACCATAGCGGTAGTCATCTTCAGAGTCAAATAGAGGTAGTCATCTTCATCTTCTCAGGACTTTATTAACCTGGACGATAATCATTTAGAAACATGTACTGACAAGGTTATGATAGCTCCCTCTTCAATGTATAAAAGGACACTTCCATTGTTTCTAACCTAAACTTCATCTAGTTTCTTTCCTTTCGTTTTTCATTCTTTCTTCGCGTCCTGAAACGAAGATTCAGTTCTGTCAAGTTACTGTTATTTTATATCTATTGCGCATGCGTTGAACGGATCTAAAACAACAAAAAGAGACTTACGGAAAAAGATACTAAAAATGTGTTGATAATGGCAAAGAAATTTTCTGAGGTAATGGTCTTCGGTTGTTCGCCAAACAACGAAACAGATTTCTAGTACTAAAATTAGAAACATATTTAATATGTCCTTTTTTATGGCCGATAATTAAAATAAATCAATATTCTCACTCTTGTTTTCATCTCCTTCATAGAATCATCAAGTTCATTGAACGAAGCTTTTGCAACTGTGAGAAAAGCTCCAGTTTCTTGAACGAAATTATCACCAGATAATATATCCTTCTTTTTACACTGATAATCATGGTCCTGTAAGAAATATTGAAGCAGTTAAAAGTTAAAGACCTTTCCTTTTTTTTAAGAACAAATCACAAACCTTTTCAACTGTTTTGAGTTTTGTTTTAAAATTCTTTACGTCTTTTTCTAACTCTACAAGACTGGAAAAAATTTCGATGAAGCAAGTGATCTTTCCTATCAATGATAAAAATCCATAATTTATGATCCCATTCTATCCTCACCTGATTTTAGCAGCTGTCCTAACATCTCCCATTTCTTCCTCAAGTTGCAGTATGGCCGGAAACTGCAAGAGCCCAAGGGAGACCATAAAATTTAATTTTTAAAAGTGAATCTATAAATTCTTCCACACAAACCTTTTGCTCCAAAAGCATGACCAAGTAATCTAAAGATTAATTTTGCTGATCGAAGTCGAATTTGTGAAAAGGACGTTATTGATACAGGCAATTTTAAACACTGAAGCGTTTCCTCTTGTTCCACGATTCATATAATTTCCAAAAGCCAAGATAACATCAATTAAATCACTGAATTTTTTGCTGCGGAACACTTACTTAGATGATTCTACCACAGCTGTTGAAATAAAGGTATGGTAGTCACGTACAGCAGACATTTACTTCAAACAATAAATTGACATCTTTTAAAAAATGTATTCAGAATTACTTTTTAGGGTGTGTGTGCACGGCTCGCTATCGTTCGGATAAAGTTGCCAATCGTTGTTCGTAACGGTTGATTCTAAAAGCAAAAAAAAAAGATTTGTACGTTTGGTACACGAAATTAAAGCAGTCACTTCACATATACGACATACTTGGACATTTCTTATAAAAATCTGTCTGCTTTGGCAAGCTGTTCTTTCTTCTTACTATGATCATTGAGCAGATTTTTTCTTGGGTAGTGTGTACGACCTTTAAGAGCTAAACAAAAAGGATTAAGATAGATTCTATGTAATGTCTATGTAAAAATGTTTAATTCCTATGTAAGAAGTCAAAGTGAAATTTTACCTGTTTGGGCATTTCTACAGATAATTCGCCATCTTTATCCATGGTAAGAACAGCTCGCACTAACTGTTCTTTAGAAGTATTTAGTTTGATAACAAAATTTGACACTTCTAAACAAAAACAAGATCTCGATGAAAATTTTAATGCAACAACCACTTCTCAAACTTATTTGATAGCATCACCGAACCTGGGCTTTCATACTATCTATGATGTATGTTAAGCTTCCCAAGACTTTGTCGCAATTCTTCCAATTCTAAAATACACGACACGTTAACACCGAATCTTACAATCAAAATGAATATCTTTATTTCAATTTCTCAAACCTTCTTCATCTTCGCTTTGAGCTGACATTTGTTGGATTACTGAATCCGCCAGTCCCCAAATTTTTCTAACTTCAATATTTTCGTCTAAGTATATAGTTTACAGTGTTAAAGGTAAATTTTGAATTTCAAAAAGGCTCGTTTCACTTAATAAACCATCAAAAGCAGATAGATATAATAAATTATCAACTGCCTTCTTGTTAAAATATTCAACAAAAGGTCAGTGGTGTAGCGGAAAAAAAATGGGGCACTTGAAGTAACTAAACTTAACATACGCTACACCACTACGAAAAGATCCACATGAGATAGACAACATACTTGGAAAAAGAAGAAAATGTTAAGGAATAGATTTAAAATAAGGAAATGCTTCCGTATGTCCGATCTTGCGTTTGATCATATCCATTATTCTAATTAGCTTAGATTTCTTCTCTAGTTTTACGACTTCAATGTAGTGGACCTTGAAAAACAAGAGAGAGCAAATGATAGAAGTTCAGTTCAGAACATCACAATAATCAAATTTATTGTACGCAAATAAAAATGTCACCTGGTATTGCATCCCCTAAAGTTGGAGGTGGTGGTGTTCCAGGAGTAAGTAATCCAGCTAACGGAGAAGGGGGAGGCGGACCAGCATGTGCGTCAAGATTAGCAATTTCCGGTGGGGCACCAGTACTATTCTTGACAAAATGCTTAACGTTGCAATCTTCAGGAATCTTCCCACCAGATTTTTCGACGATCTCTTTAAGTTTTTCCAAGACTTTTTTGTGAGCTTCAGGCTAGGAAATAAAAAAATCTCCACATGAAACAAAAATATGATATCATAAAACATTGACAATTGCTTTACAAGAATGGCAGTACTGTTGACTTTGCTGTCAAGCTCCTGCATTCTTTTTAATGCCTAATTCTTCTCTGCAGTCTCACGTTCTAATTCAAATTTTTGTTTTTCTCTCTCTTCCTCTACTTCGTCCTTAACAAAGAACAAGACGTTTAATGGGATTCATACAAAGATAGCGTAAAACAAAAAATATAAAATAAAAAAGAGAACTTTTCTTCTTACATCTAGTCACTTGTTATGTCAAGCTTCTCAAGTTTCTTTCGCGATTCTTCCAATTCTAAAATACACGACACATTAACACCGAAGATTAACATCAAAATGAAAATCTTCATTTCAATTTCTCAAACCTTTGCTATAAACTGACATTTGTTGGATTACTCTATCCGCCAGACCCCAAATTTTTCTTGCTTCTCTATTGTCATCTAAATATATAGTTTACAGTGTTAAACGTAAAAATTGAAATTCAAAAAGGCTCGTTTCACTTACTAAACTATCAAAGGCAGATAGATATATTAAATTATCAACTGCCTTCTTGTTAAAATATTCAACGAAAGCTCAGTGTGTAGCGGAGAAAAAATGGGGCACTTGAAGTAACAAAACTTAACATACGCTACACCACTACGACAAGAACAACATGAATTAGACTAAATACTTGGAAAATGAAGCAAATGTCGAAGAATTGATCGAAAATGCGGATATGCTTCAGTATGGCGTATTCTGCTTTCGATCATCTCCATCATTTTAAAACAACTTTGCAAGTCAATCGTTTGTTAAAAGAGAAACGATTAATTATCATATCGTTAACTTGATAAAAGCAAAGGTCTGCATGATAATATGTGAAACTTCCCTTTCGCCCAGACAATACGCCTTAACAGAGCTTTAATTTATTTGTCGAATTATTCAACTCAAAAAATGAGTTACTGTTGACCGTATACTAGAAATAATATGATTACCTGTAAATAGTTACTGTAAATGTTACACGTTTAAGAAACATATTACGAGTTACCATTAACGTAATTTGTATAGGTACGTAACATGCTTTTGAAATTAGTTACTTTCGCAATAGTAACTTACAACATTTTACCATACAAACTCACTGAACAAGTGATGTTTATAGTAGTGGTTCATTTTGACGACAATAAAGATACTTCAAAACTAACTACATCCCCCATTACATCATCTGATATTTCTGTATTAAGGAAAGAAAACTGCTTTGATAAATCATTATTAAAATAATTACCTCTTCCTCTCTTTCTTCTTCATTTACATTACTGTTTTCTGCTAAATTAAGAATGAAAGTAATAAGTTATACGCATTGAACAAAATCGTCAGTGATTATGTTTTAAGATTAGGTAACAAAGAGTAACTTGTTAAATGAGAACATCAGCCGGAAATGTTTTATCTCTATATCATATGCTCGTGTAACATATTCCATTTCGTCGCTGTATGAATTAATACCCTTTAATTTGAAGAACATTTAACAAGGACAATACACTAATTCTTAGTAAACTATTATTTTTTAAAGAAAGATCTTTGGTAATTTGCCAGAATAAATAAAAACATGCACATTTCTATTTTTAAATTGCTTGTATATCAATAAATATTTTGTGCGCTTTCACCGCAAGCAACAAGCAAACACATCCATAAAACACAAAATGTTTAAGTGCTTTAAAGAACACTACAGTTTTTCATATTTGAAAAAATTTGATTAGTTTCTGTGGCTTAGTCAGAGGATCGTGACTAAAACACCACACGAGTACATACGAGTACATACGAGTACATACAAGTACATACGACTAACATACGAGTACATACGAGTGACATACGACTACTTTCTGGTCAACAAATGAGAAACATCACAATTTCTTCAATACATTGATATTTGCGTTTATTTTTCTTTGTATTTGTGTGGACTTTGGGGCAACCATTTGATGGATTTAAATGCTGAAAAGGTGTTTTACTTTCATACTACATTCATTTGTATGTTTTAGTTGAATTTGTTATAGATATTTTGTCGATGCGATTTGCGAGTATTTGAGCGCTTTTTGACACACTTTCACCTAGGAAATACATATTTATGAAAGCATTATACATTCATTTTGACTCTGAAGATGACTTCATATAGCACGTTTTCAAGGCATTATTTATACGTTGTATATTTAATCGCTTTCATAAATATGTATTTCCTAGGTGAAAGTGTGTCAAAAAGCGCTCAAATACTGGCAAATCGCATCAAAAAAATATCTATAACAAATTCAACTAAAACATACAAATGAATGTAGTATGAAAGTAAAATATCTTTTCAGCATTTAAATCCATCAAATGGTTGCCCCAAAGTCCATACAAATACAAGGAAAAATAAACGCAAATATCAATGTATTGAAGAAATTGTGTTGTTTCTCATTTGTTGACCAGAAAATAGCGTATGTCACTCATATGTACTCGTATGTTAGTCGTATGTATTTGTATGTACTCGTATGTCACTCGTATGTAGTCGTATGTCACTCGTATGTACTCGTATGTCACTCGTATGTACTCGTATGTACTCGTGTGGTGTTTTAGTCACGATCTAGTCAGAGTGCAAGTTTTAGTACTGTCGTACTGATATGTAAATTTTATGTTTTCATTGTCTGTTAGTATATGGTAAATTGTTCTTTCTCACTAGTGAATACAAAACAATTTATGTTGCAGGATAAAATTGCTTGGATAGCTAAAACATTGAAAAATATACAAATAGCAGAGGCAGAGCTAGCGCAGCCTTTGAATAACTCTAAAACATTGACGTGAGAGTAAAGATAAATTTATATTCAAATCGCACTTGATATGAACAGTTAAAGAGGGAATATATTAATATAATTTTAATTCATTACAACAGCTGTTCAGATGGACTGGGTTAGCTACAACTACTGATCTGAAAATAGACTTGATGTAGTTTATCATATATGCAAAATTCCTTAATGGTTACTCACGAGATATAAAAATTACTTCAGAAATATAAACGTATTAAACATACGTATATACATCTATAAGTAGCGAAATAAGAGGGTAAAAGATATATATATATATATAAAATTATGATACGAAAATGAATTTTTTGTAGTTTTTGCAAACTTATTGTTTTGTAATTTTCTCCAATCAACATTTGTTAGAAAAACAAACGTACAGCGATAATTTTGAGCATAAATTTGTGTGAATTAGTAAATTGGACAAATTCATCAATTTATTGCTAAAAATTATCGGTTA